TTCAGTTTCTAGGTCTCTAGTTTGTTTGTTCCTTGTTCCACCGCCAGGAAATAGGCCTGGCACTTTGGGAAAGTCCCCACTTAGAAGAGAGACCCTGGGCTTTGTTTGCTTGGGGAGGGAGGGAGGGGAGCCTGGGTCAGGACTACACCCCTTCTCCTTCCCCTCTGGGTGGGTCTCATGGCCTGGGACCACCTGGGCTGGAGCTTGAAGCAAAGGACAAATAATAGGCCACCCAGGGGCTCTGGCAGAGCAGAGAGGATTCTCACTCTGCAAGCCCGCTGTGTGGATTCAAATCCTAGTTCCATCACACCCTTGCTTTGTGACTTTGGGAAGACACCTTGTCTCCCTGAACCTGAGTTTCTTCATCTCCCAAATGCTGCTCATGGAAGGTGAGGAGAAAATACTGCTTAGCTCCCAGGATGGTGGAGGCTGACCACAGGTGTGGAATAGAGGGGACCCAGCACATAGGCACTTCCGTGTCAGGGCCTTGCCATTCCCTGCCAGCCTCACCCAGTAAGGGTGAGGGCAGAGGAGGGGCTGTGCAGAGGAAGGGGATGCCCATAAACATATCCAGGGCAATCGAGGAGAGGAGCTCCCAGCCTGAGTGGCAGAAAGCTTCCGCTGACTGCCTAGGGACAGGAGGGGGAGACAGCAGAACTCTCCCTCCCACCCCCCACCGGCAGCATGTGGGGCCTGTGGGGCCTTTGGTGCCCTGTAAGTAGTCATTCAACAAATGCTCACAGATGCTTGCTTGCTCTGTGCTGGCTCCTGTGGCCCCAGAGATAAATCAGCCCTGAGCCTTTCCTTGAGGGTTCCCCAGGCTGGGGTGAGTCACCCTATCACAGAAGGGCAAACAGTGTTCAGGATGATGGTGCAATCTCAGACTCAACACAGAAAGGGCCCCTGAGGACTGACCGGCCAGGCCTTCGGTTTGCTGCTTGTTTGTGTTTTGCTAACATTTACTGAGCACACATGACATGCCAGGCAGCCACTGAGCATGTTACATGTATTGTCTCATTTTGTCCCCATTTTATGGAGAGAATGTGAGGGCTCAGACAGAGAAGTGATTGGTCCCAGGTCACACAGCTGGGAAATGGCAGAACCCAGATTTAAGCCAGAGTCTCCACCACGAATCCCTCAGCAGTTCTACTCAGGGCCCAGAGGCTCACCAGGAAACTGACAAAGCCAGGCTAGTTCTTTCCATGACACCACAGTGTTGAAAGACCCTGTTTTGTCCTGTTATAAGAAGGCAGTGAAAGTGGACCTCATTTCATGGTCTCCCATCAAACGACGTGCAAAGGACCATGGTTGTTTGTTGTTACATGTATGTGACATGTTGGTGATAATAAGGTGGTTGCTGGGATATTTCTTTCTTAAATTCAGAGGATTGAATGGTATCAATCCAGAAACAAAATCATTACATCGAAATAAGGAGACAATGGGGCGCCCTTGATTTCTGCTCAGGTCATGATCTCATGGTTCGTGAGTTCTAGTCCCATGTCAGGCTCTGTGCTGACAGCGCAGAACCTGCTTGGGATTCTCTCTCCCTCTCTTCTCTCTTCCCCACCCCTGCTCACTCTCTCCCTCAAAATAAATAAATAAACTTAAAAAAAAATGGGGAGACTAGTTAGGTTCGGTCATATGCAAGAGAAGTATATCTTATAAGATGAATTTTTTCGGTGGATGAAGAAGGCATAATTATGAGGTCATGCATGTTGAGAAGTAAGTGATATGTTATGTCATAGGTAGAAATTAGAATTTAAATATAGTAGAATTAGACTATAGTAGTCCCAGGGTGCCTGGGTTGCTTAGCTGGTTAAGCGTCTGACTTAATCTCAGCTCAGGTCTTGATCTCAGGGTCGTGAGTTCAAGCCCTGCATTGGGCTCTGCGCTGGGCATGAAGGGCTATTAAAAAAAAAAAAACTAGGGCTTGGTGCAGTCGGTTAAGCGTCATTCTGACCAGCCAGGTCACGAGTTCAAGGGTCAGGAGTTCGAGCCCGCGTCAGGCTCTGGGCTGATGGCTCAGAGCCTGGAGCCTGCTCGATTCTGTGTCTCCTCTGGAACAGCCTCCCTCCCGTTATGCTCTGTCTCTCTCTGTCCCAAAAATAAATAAACGTTGAAAAAAAAAAAAAGAATACAGTAGTCCCCCGTATCTGCAGAGGATACATTCCAAGACCCCCTCCGGATGGCTGAAACCATGGATAGTACTGAACCCTGAATACACTATGCTTTTTCCTATACATACATACCTATGACAGAGTTTAATTTATAACTTAGGCACAGTAACAATAACTAATAATAAAATGGAACAATTTTAATAATATCCTATATATCCTACCTATAATAATAAAAGTTATGTGCATGTGGTCTCTCTCAAAATATCTTGTACTGTACTCCTCCTTGTGAGGTGATAAAGTGCCTGCGTGGTGAGAAGTGAGGGGAATGATGGAGGCACTGTGACAAGGCGTTAGGCCACTATGTGTTGACCTTCTAACAACACGTCACAAAGAGGATCATCTACTCCCTGACCCTGGTTGACCACAGGTAGCTGAAATAGTGGAAGGCAAAACCACGGATAAGTGGGGACTACTGTATACTTAATCGGTAGAATCAATTAGTTATGACCGTCAGGAAGATTTTTGTCTTGTATGTACTTTCACAAAGCAAAAGTGTGTTCAGTGGCCCAATGAGGAAGACACACTAGGTTTTAAATAGAGTTGACCTCGGTTATCCAGAAAATCCCTGTTCCTCCCAAGCCAGATAAGTGAGGTGCTGTGTGATTGGCCTCCTTCCTCAAATGAAGGGGTGTGGTGAGGGTTTTCAACAATGATTGCCCCATGGACACCTGTGCCCTGCCCCAACCCCCAGGACCAATGTCTATGAGGTAAATCCTCCAAGAACTGAGACTTCTTCCCTTTTCTTCCCTTTTATCCAGTGCCTGGCATCTAGTGTGCACTCAGTGAACGTGAGGTGAATGAAGGAATGCACAAAAGAGGGTGTCAGGCAGCAGAAGGGAGCAGAACAGAGCACTTTGGGCCCTATGGGACCAGGACAGTTCAGGACCTGTCTGGACCTGGAGGTTGGACAGGGACATCCCTGGCTGCGTGGGGAGGCCCGGCCTGCTAGACAAAACCCCCTGCCCTCTGCCCTGCCCTATCCTGCCCTATCCTAGCTACCCACTTGGCCCAACCCTGGCCTAGCTAACCACCTGGCCCTGAATACACTAATACAGTCCAGCCTCAGCTTCCCCAGCTAGCAGCCCCCAGCAGATGGTGACATTCAGGAAAGCCAACATGGAACGCACCCGGGAGGTGTTTAGTCAGCTCACCTGATTGCCTTCCATTCCCCTCTTCCTCTCTTCACCTTCCGGAAGAGTAAAAAGATCAAGCCAAAGCAGCAGGGCCACCTGGTCAAGTCATCCATGCCCCTGTCTCCACTCCAGGATGACCTGACTCCACTCCCATGTCTGGGCCAGGCCGGACCCTGCCGGGCCAGGCCCCAGGGAGGTAGCCATTCAAGGGGAGAGAGGCCAGGCTGCAGGCCTGGTGGGGGAGCCGCCCATAAATCAGGCCCCACTCCCACCCAGTCGCTAACAAGCGGGGCTGCCTACCCGCCTACATGGGGTCCCTGCCTCTGGGCTCCCACAGCGGCCTGGAACAGCCAGCTGGCCAAGGCCTCCAGAGTGCCTTGGCCTCCACCCCCACCACGGCCCCCAGATAGATAGGGGTATTTTTTTTTTTTTT